ACAAACACAGAAGAGCCGCCCCGGGACGGGCGGGCTGGGAACACAAAGTGGAGACTGAAGTGAATGCGAGAGGGATCGGCCCTTGGGGGGCCCCGCCGGCCCCTGGCACTGAAGAGCCGCCTGGGATGGGCCCTGGCGGGGGTCGCCAGAGAAGGGAGCGAGGTCGGAACAGAATAAAATACAGAGAATGAACCAAAGGAAAACAACAACAAAAAAAAACCGCCCCGGGGGACCCTCCGCCGCCCCGCATGTAAAAGAGCTGCCCCGAGGGACGAGCGAGGAGTGGCGGCCGTGGAATGGTCACCGGGGGTGTGGCGAGGGAGGCGTGAATGGAATCAAACTGAGAGGAGAGAATTAAATACACTAAAGGAGCCGCCCCGAGTCACCGAAAGAGCTGCCCCGAGGGACCCGCTGTCGGGTGTCGTCAAAGGGCTGCACCGAGGGCAGGGCGAGGAGGGAATAGAATTAAATGTAGAAAATAAAAGAAAGAGAATATAAAGGAGGTCCCACTGCCCCGTATCGAGAAGAGCCGCACCGAGGGACCGGCGGGGCGGCACCGGGCAGGCCGGACGATATTCGGTGTCCCCGAAAAAGTCATCCTCTAAAGAACCCCGTGGCAGCCCCTGACCAGACTGGAACAGCGGGCGCGGCCCGGCCCGACCCCTCCACCCGCGCCGGGAGCGGCGATGCCCGCGGGCCCGGCCGGGGCCGAGCGGCGGCAGCCGGAGCAGGGGAAGCGGCTGCAGCGGCGGAGACGAGCGAGGTGTTCCCAACCGGGTCCGCTCCGCCCTCGGGCCCCGGGGGGAGATCGGGGGTTGTTCCCAACCGGGTCCACCCCACGGACCCCCCCAGAACCCCCCACCCCCGGGGCTGCAGAGCCCCCAACTGCCCTAAGCCAATCAGAAATTTCCGACGCAGCACTGGCCAATCAAAGCGCGATATGATGATGACTCATCAGTTACCGGGAAGATGCGACGAAAAACGGGCCCCGATTTTGCCCTCAGCCAATCAGAGCGCGCCCAAAACCCCCCAAAACGGCCCCGCGCGGCTGGTTTTGGGGTGTCAGCCCCTGCCCGGCGCTGGAGATGGAGCGTGGGCGAGGAGCTGGGGCCGTACTGGTGGTACTGGTGGTGCTGGGGGTGCTGGGAGCCCACCCGGCTGCAGGCGAGGAGCTCTCGGGTGAGCGGGGGGGGCGGGAAGGGGGATAGAGGAGAGAAAAGAGGGGATGGGAGCCCCAAAAGTGAGGGCGAGGGGGGTTGGAACCCTTGGGATTAATGGAAGGGGGATGAGAACCCCAAAACGGAGCAAGGTGTGGGTCTGGGGATTGGGGGGACGGTGGGAAAGGGGGGAAAAGGGAGGTGGGAGAGCAAGAAGAGGGGTGCCATGGGGGTCCCTCTGGGTCCCCCATCACTGCAGCCCTGCAGCGGTTCTCTGCTCGGGGGGTGGGGTCAGATCCTCACTGGGGGGTCCCCAACTCCCCTGTCCGTCCCAGGATGGCTGATGGGAGGTTCCCCCCCAGCCAAGAACCGGTTCTGCGGTGGCCGTGGGGCAAAGGGGGGTGGGAAAGGGGGGTCCGGGGTGGCCCCCTGAACTCTCAACCTGCTGTGGGGGGCTGGAGGATGATGGGGCTGGCACCCACTGACCCGTGTCCTGCACACACAGGGGTGTTCCAGGAAAAGGTAAAGTTTGAGTGTTACTTCATCAACGGCACCGAGCGGGTGAGGTACGTGGAGAGGCACATCTACAACCGGCAGCAGTACACCCATTTCGACAGCGATGTGGGGGTCTTTGTGGGGGACACCCCGTATGGGGAGTTCCAGGCCAGGTACTGGAACAGCCAACAGGACTTGCTGGAGTTCAAACGGGCTGAGGTGGACAGGCTCTGCCGGGAAAGC